GGTCCTGGTCACGGTTCTGGTTCGAATCGATGGGCATTAATAATATTAGAATCATATTAATGCAGCCCCAACAACAATTGTGACCAGGACTGGTCGTGGTCACGGTTCTGGTTCGGGTCGGTTGGCATTAATAATATTATAAGAATATTAATGCGACCCGAACCACAACTGTGACCAGGACTGGTCCTGGTAACGGTTCTGGTTCAGGTCGATGGGCTTGAATAGTATTCTAGTAATACTAATGCAACCCCAACCACAACTGTGACCAAGACTGGTCCTGATCACGCTTCTGGTTCGGATCGATGGGCATTCATATAATAATAAAAATAATAACATATGGTAAGCATAAGAATAATGTAACCCCAACCTCAGTCGTAACCAGGACTGGTTCTGGTCACGGTTCTGGTTCGGGTCGATTGGCATTAAAAATACTATAATAATATTCATGCGACCCGAACCACAACTGTGACCAGGACTGGTCCTGGTCACGGATCTGTTTCGGGTCGATTGGCATTAATAATATTATGATGATTTTAGTGCGACCTGAACCACAACTGTGACCAGGACTGGTCCTGATCACGCTTCTGGTTCGGATCGATGGGCATGCATATAATACTAATATTAATGCGACCCGAACCACAACTGTGACCAGGACTTGTCCTGATCACGGATCTGGTTCGGATCGATGGGCATTCATAGAATAATGATAACATGAATGCGACCCGAACCACAATTGTGACCAGGACTGGTCCTGGTCACGATTCTGGCTCGGGCTGACTAGCATTAATTATATTATAATAGTATTAATGCAACCCGAACCACCACTGTGACCAGGACTGGTCCTCGTCACGGTTCTGGTCCGGGTCGATTCGCATTAGTCTCATAATAATGAGATTAATGCAACCCCAACCACAACTGTGACCAGGACTGGTCCTGGTCACGGTTCTGGTTCTGGCCGATGGGCATTGATAATATTCTGGTAATATGAATGCAACCCGAACCACAACTGTGACCAAGACTGGTCCTGGTCACGGTTCTGGTCCGGGTCGTTTGGCATGAATAACATTAAAAAATATTAATGCAACCCCAACCACAACTGTTACCAGGACTGGTCCTGGTCACGTTTCTGGTTCGGGTCGATTCGCACTACTATAATTATAAAAATATTAATACGACCGGAACCACAACTGTGACCAGCACTGGTCCTGGTCACGGTTCTGTCTCGGGTCGATTGGCATAAATAATATTATACGAATATTAGTGCAACCCGAACCACAACTGTGACCAGGATTGGTCCTGGTCACGGTTCTGGTCCGGGTCGATTCGCATTAATAGTATAATACTGAATGCAACCCCAACCACAACTGTGACCAGGACTGGTCCTGGTCACGGTTCTGGTTCGGGTCGAGTGGCATTAATAATATTCTAATAATATGAATGCAACCCCAACCACAACTGTGACCAGGACTGATCCTGGTCACGGTTCTGGTTCGAATCGATGGGCATTAATAATATTAGAATAATATTAATGTAACCCCAACCACAATTGTGACCAGCACTGGTCCTGGTCACGGTTTTGGTTCGGGTCGATTGGCATTAATAATATTCTAATAATATGAATGCAACCCCAACCACAACTGTGACCAGATCTGGTCCTGGTAACGGTTCTGGTTCGGGTCGGTGGGCATGAATAGTATTATAATGGTATTAATGCGACCCGGACCACAATTGTGACCAGGACTAGTCCTGGTCACGCTTCAGGTTCGGATCGATGACCATTCATATAATAATAATGGTAATCGTAAGAATAATGTTGCCCCCAACCTCAATCGTAACCAGGACTGGTTCTGGTCACGGTTCTGATTCGGATCGGTTGGCATTAATAATATTGAATTAATATTAGTGCGACCAGAACCACAACTGTGACCAGGACTGGTCCTGGTCACGGTTCTGGTTCGGGTCGATTGGCATTAGTAATAGTATGATAATACTAATGCGACCTGAACCACAATTGTGACCAGGACTGGTCCTGGTCACGCTCCTGGTTCGGATCGATGGGCACGCATAGTAATAATAATAATAACGCGACCCGAACCACAATTGTGACCAGGACTGGTCCTGGTCACGGTTCTGGTTCGGATCGATGGGCATTCATATAATAATATTATAGTAATAGTAATGCGACCCGAGCCAACACTGTGACCAGGACTGGTCCTGGTCACGGTTCTGGTTCGGATCGGTTCGCATTGATATTAGAATAATGACATCAATGCAACCCCAACCACAACTCTGACCAGGACTGGTCCTGGTCACGGTTCTGGTTCGGGTCGATGGGCATTACTAATATTATCATAATATTAATGCGACCCGAACCACAACTGTGACCAGGACTGGTCCTGGTCACGGTTCTGGTTAGGGTCGATTGGCATTACTAATATCATAATAATATTAATGCGACCTGAACCACAACTGTGACCAGGACTGGTCCTGGTCACGCTTCTGTTTCGGATCGATGGGCATTCATATAATACTAATGCTAGTACTGCAACCCGAACCACAATTGTGACCAGGACTGGTCCTGGTCACGGTTCTGTTTCGGATTGACTGGCATTATTCATATAATATTAATAGCAGTGCTCCCCGAACCACAACTGTGACCAGGATTGGTTCTGGTCACGGTTCTGGTTCGGGTCGATTCGCATTAATATTATAATAATGGTATTAATACAACCCCAACCACAACTGTGACCAGGACTGGTCCTGGTCACGGTTCTGGTTCGGGTCGAGTGGCATGGACAACAGTATAGAAATATTAATGCAACCCCAACCACAACTGTGACCAGGACTGGTCCTGGTCACGGTTTTGGTTCGAATCGATGGGCATTAATAATATTAGAATAATGATAATGCGACCCGAACCACAATTGTGACCAGG